AGGTCCCCATGCTTACACAGCAGGCACTCTACCCCTCCGAGCCTGGTCCCTAGTTCCCCTCTCCTCCTTTTTAAAAGTTTCTATTTAGATAGTTCCCCCTCTTAGACCTTTCTCTCATGGGGGTGGCACAGAAAAATGCTCTTATGCATCCTTCCCCTGGAAAGAGAGCTTGAGAGGCAGAGCTGATAGGACCAGGGATTAGAAGCCAACCTGGCCCTGTCTCAAACTAAAGCAGAGATGGGGATGTAACTGAGTTGGCAGAAAGTTTGCCTAGAGTGTGCAAGCCCTGGGTTTGATCCTCAGAGCTCCATAAATGATCTGATAGCACATGCCTACAGTCTTGCCATTTGAGAAATAGAGGAAGGAGGAGCAGAAATTCAAGGTCAGTGGCTTAGGGATTGAGAGCACTTGCTGCTTTTCTGGAGGATGCAAGTTCAGTTCCCTGCACCTACATCAGGTGGTTGTAAGATGCTCGAAACCCCAGTTCCAGGTGACCCAATACCGTTTTCTGGCTTCTGCAGACACCTGCACACATGTGGTATACACTCATACAGATAGACACATAAATTTTAAAAAATTTAAAATATTTTAAAAGAAATTTAAGTTCATCCTTTGCTGTGTAGCATGTTCAATGCTGGCCGGGACTATATGATACCCTGTCTCAAACAAAGAGACAAACAACCCCACCCTTGAGGAGATGTGAATGAGAACAGGATCCCTTAAAAGGAGATATGGAGAGTGGTGTTAATTGTCCATTCTTTTTTTTTTTTTTTGAGACTTAGTTTCTCTCGGTAGCCTTAGCTATTCTGGATAGCTCTTGTAGACCAGGCTGGCCTCAAACTCAAGAGATCCCCCTGCCTCTGCCTTCCAAGTGCTGGGATTAAAGGTTCGTGCCAACTCTGCCTGGTCTCACTTCTGTATTATAGAAGTCATATGCATTTTTAAAATTCAATCATCACAATAATGTGTGTAGAAAGGAAGAGCCTCAACTTACCAATTCAACCATACAGGAACCAACAGCTTTTCCCCCCAGAATAACCTTATTCCTAAATTTAGGACCCAAGCCCCAGCACAGGAAAATCATTGAAATTATCTAAAGCCTAGACATAAATTCTTCTGTGCCCCTGTGTGTGCAGGTGTACATTCATATGTATCCACATGCCCCTGGAGGTCAGGGGTCAACTGCAAGTGCTGTTTTGTTGGCACCGGCCTTTTTTAAAGAATCAGGCTCTCTCTCTGTCTTGTAGCTTGCATAGTAGGCTGGGTTGCCAGCCCTGTGAGCCCCAGGGATCTTCTTTTTTCTGCTTCACCCCTGCTGTGATTACAAGGAGATGCCACCAAACCTGGCTTTTTGTATGTGAGTGCTGGGATCCAAACTCAGGTCCTCAAGCTTTCATAGCAGGCACTTCATTAACTGAGCCTTCTTCTTACCAGTCCAGTTTCCGTATGTTTCCTTGGCTGGCTTAGAACTCATCATATAGACCAGGCTGACTTCAGACTCATAGATCTGCCTGCCTCTGCCTCCTGAGTGCTGTTATTAAAGACACGTGCCACCATGATGCTTGGTAAAAGAAATCTTATTTTTCTTAAAGACTTACTCATTTGTGTCTGTGTGCATGTGCATGTGTGTGCAGGTACCTGTGGAGTCCAGAAGAGTGTGTTGGGTTCCCTGGAGCTGGAGTTACAGGTAGTTGTGAGTAAGTGCTGGGACCTGAACAGCAATCCTCTGCAGGAACAGTATGCACTCTTAACTGCTGATCAGTCTCTTCAGCCCTAAAGAACTCTTTACACATCCTAACAGAAAGTCCTTAGCTACATATGCATATTGTAAGTCACCTATCTACTCTATAGACTGCCTGTATACTCTGCCAATATTGTTATCTGATGAACAAAAGCTCTTCATTTGAAGGTAATCCCATTTGCAAAATATTTCTTTGCAGCTTATTTTTTAACTGTTTTTTTTTTTCAAGCATTGGCCTTTTCAGAGTAAAAAAAGATGTTACTCCATATTTTCTTCTAACAAAACTGCTTTTCAAAACAATGACAGTAGCTTAAATGTATACTAAATAACAACATACACAGCCAAAAGATTTTTGTTGTTGTTGTTTTGTTTTCTCGAGTCAAGGTTTCTCTGGCTTTGGAGGATGTCCTGGAATTAGCTCTTGTAGACCAGGCTGGCCTCGAACTCACAGAGATCCGCCTGCCTCCTGAGTGCTGGGACTAAAGGCGTGTGCTACCACTGCCTGTCATCACAGCCAACAGATTTACATTCTTGTTTTGTTATACCCATCATAGACCCTAGCAAGTTCCCAGCTAGTCACAGTGTCCTACCCTTTGGGGTAGTGCTGAGAGTAAGTCTGAAGATTGGATGGTGCCAACCTGTTCCTTTAATGGCTAGAGTGTTACATTATTCAAGAAATCAGTCACTGTTAACAAATGGCCAGATATCCCACATTACATCAACATCATCTGTTTGGTGGTATGCTTAGTCAATGCCAGTACTGAAGGGATCCCAGGGTAACAGTTTTTCCACCAATATTAGTATTTCATCTGTCTCAATGTGGCCTGTGCCAAGACTATATTCAAGCAAGCTTGAAGAAACAGCAGAGGAGAGTTGATCTCGTACATTACCTGGACCTTACCAGGATCCAGTGCTGGGTAAGATTGTTGATGTCTTTTCTCCACCAGCAGCCTGAAAAGTACTTGCTGGCTCTATGAAAACTAGGCAGCAGAAAGGACGTTTCAAGGTCAGGTCCTGACTGATTTCTTTGTGTTCTATGTCCTACAACCAAAGTATGTGGTGTCTTCAGCAATAGGGTTTTACCATCAGTTGTGGGTTTTTTGTATTGTTTTTTATTCTTAGACAGCATCTCATTCTTTATCAGGCTGGCCTGGAACTTACTCTGTAGCCCAGACTGGCTTCAAACTCATGGGTGATCCTCCTCTCTATGACTCCTCAGAGCTGAAATTATAGATGTGAGCCAGCACACTTAGTTGTAATCTTTATTTTATACCTGGTAGAGTCACACCACTAGTGCCTTGGCACCTGAGGATGTTCATGGCTTCCTGAACACACGTACAGATATCATTAAACATAAAAATAAACAAAACCTTAGAGGAAGGGTTTGTCACACAAGCAAGAAGACCTGAGTTCAATACCCAATACTCACACACAAAGCCTGGAGCAGTGGCATGCATCTGTAACCCCAATGCTGGGGAGGTAGAGATACTAGACTCCCTGGGCCTTAGTGGCTAAACAAGCCATATTGGCAAGCTCCAGGTTTAAAGAGAGAAAAAGAAAGTAAGGTGTGTGTGTGACCGAGGACGACAACTAATGTCAACCTATGGCTTCCATACATACACACAGTTACACACATGTGGATACATGTCACATACAAATACACCACTCACACACCTGGACATCTGCATGCTACAACATAGACATGAACTAGTATAGAGCTAGTGGTTCTCACCAGCCAAAATACAGAACAGGCTTCAACAGGTCATGGGAGTTGGGAAGAGGGTGTGCTAGAAGAAACTTATAATAATCAGGCATCTAGACTCAGACCAGATTTAGGGACCAGTGCTTTATGTGTACAAAGTAAGAGCTGGTGATGTGTACAGAGTATTGATTTGACACAAACAGTCTGAAGAACAGAATGCCCTCTGCACTGCATCTTTGATTTTTTGAGTTCTTAGGAGTTAAGCTTTAGGATCAGATGTAGACAGTTGTTTAAAAAGGAAACGAATGTCACTAGGTTATCAGTGGATTGAGGTGGGCCAGGGAAAGTCTTCATGATCATGTAGAGCCTAGCACCACTGCAGCATCTTAGAGAGTGGTCACTTGCAGCAAATCTGCTTTTAGTGTCCAGGGCAATGGATCTTGGCATTACAGTGGGTCCTTCCAACCATGTGTCAGCAGGAGAGTGTCCTTATATGCACAGAGATAATGAAAAGAGGGAACGAGAGGACAACGGTGTGACTCAGTGAGCAAAGCACTTAATTCAAGCCCTGTGACCCAAGATAGATTCCCAGAACACATACAAAGGTATAAGGAAAGAATGGACTCTCCACTACATGCATGCCCCAAAACACCTTTCATACATACACGAAAACACAGACTCACACTAATAAAAATTTTAAATTAATCAAAATAAAAGAGGGAACCAGAGTGAGGAAGGGAGAAAAAGGATGCTACACAAAGGGCCATGACTGACAGATTCATAGATATATGGAGGCTCTTTTAGAGTTCTGGCAAAAGCATGAATTATGTTGGCTACTGGCTACTGACACATTCATAGTCTTGTAATTATAATCACAAAAATTGAAATTAGAGCCAGGCGGTGGTGGCACATGCCTTTAATCCCAGCACTGGGGAGGCAGAGGCAGGCAGATCTCTGTGAATTCGAGACCAGCCTGGTCTACAAGAGCTAGTTCCAGGACAGTCTCCAAAGCCACAAAGAGACCCTTTCTGGAAAACCAAACCAAAGCAAACCAAAACAAACAAACAAAAAATTGAAATTGGAGTTACACTTTTAAAATTTATTCTGAGAACTGTGTCTTCATCTTCATATTTTAGGGGCTGGCATGAAGCCTGACACACAACTTCCGAGAATATATGTGTAAATTTGTTTAATAAAATTGGAGAAGTAGGGAACACCTTTCTCTGTGTGTCTCTTTTTGTCTCTCTGTCTCTGTCTGTCTCTCTGTGTGTATGTGTATGTGTGTGTGTGTGTGTGTGTGTGTGTGTGTGCGTGTGTGTGTGTGTGTGTGTGTGTGTGTGTGAGAGAGAGAGAGAGAGAGAGAGAGAGAGAGAGAGAGAGAGAGAGAGAGAGAGAGAGAGAGAGAGAGAGAGAGAGAGAGTTGATTTCTTTCTGGTGTGGTAAGAATGAAAAAAAAATTAAAGAGATTCAGGCCCTGTACCAAGGATTCTTCAGGCCTTGTGTGAGGAGGCGTTGAGACAAATTCCATGACAGTTAGAAAGTAAACTGGCTGCCAAGATGGAGAGGAAGGAACAAACCTTGACCTTCTACAGTCCTGAGGTCTCCAAAGTAAAAGGGAACCGGAAATACCAAAGGGTGAGGAGACAGAAGTTCAGGGGGTAGGAAAGGAAGGGGACTTGATGTGAGGACAGAGCTAGACAGAAAAGACCATCTTAGAAATGTTGACATTAAACAAGAGGTAAGGAAACAGGTGTACAAATCAAGCCAACATGGGGATATTGAGGTAGAGAGTGTTAGTAGACTTTGAGAATCTGGTGCTAGCTTCTCCGGCACTGTTTCCCTCATCCTTGTAGCCTACCCTTCCTACCAACAAGCAATCGATATCAGCCCAGAAGCGGCAACAGTATGTGGATCAGGCATACCTCTACACCCGGATGTTCAGTGGCAGCCTCTCTGGCTTTAGCCTCCTGCTGCTGATCTGCACGTCCCCACTGAGCTGGGTGCAGTTCCTGGTGACCAACAATGGCCTTGAGCTCAACGCAGGACTGTGGACCTTATGCAACCATGAGCTGTGCTGGAGCCACACACCCAAGCCACCCTGTGAGTGCCACTAAAGTCAATGCCACAGGCCCCATGGTTCCCGAGCTTTCTGTCACATTGTGCTTTTGCCTTTCTTCTTCCTTCAAGATTTTTGGATCTGAGACAAGTTGTGAATGTGACTGGCCTTTCTTCTGGCATCCTGTATATGTCCTCTCTCTGAGCCCAGGTTGATTCCTGTCCCAAATGATAATAAGCTGGTGGTATTCTTTTGACATTTATAAGATGCTACTGTGTAAGCTTGGGCATAGATTTGGATACAGGTGACCCACACGGTTGATACTTGGGTGTCCTTTTTATCTAGACTATTCTTCTTTCTAGATCAAGGCTTCTTATTGACATATACAGGTGGGCCCTTTTGTATCAGAGGTCCTACGAGTTTTGACACTTTGACAGTTAAGCTTGCTGCCCTTCAAAAGCTGAATCAGAGCTGGGATGAAGTTCGCTAGTAGAGTACTCATCTGCCATATACAAGGCCCTGGGATCTGCCCCCAGCAACACACACACACACACACACAGAGTCTTGCTTTAAAAATTTGAATTAAAGATGGGCCATAGTGGCAAATGCTTTAAATCCCAGTACCCAGGAGGCAGAGTTAGGAGGATGTCTGTGAGTTCAAGGCCAGCTTGGTCTACATAGTGAATTCCATGACAGAGCAATAAAGTGAGACCCTGTCTCAAAAAAAAAAAAAAAAAAAGTGGTTTGAATTAGGGTGGTATGTAGTGGCACTCACCTTTAATCCCAGTACTGGTCTACATAGCAAATTCTAGTCCATCCAAGACAACTAATAAGATGCTGTTTCAAAATCAGCACTGGAGCTATGGCTAAGTGGTTAAAAGCTTGGGCTTACTCTTTCAGAGGATTCGGGTTATGGTTCCTAGAACCTGTGTCAGATGGCTCACTGCTGCCAGTTACTCTAGCTGCAGGGGATCTGACCCTCTCTACAACACTACACCCAAACTGTGGCATACACTCACTTATACACAGATAAAAAAATTGAAAGTAAATCTCTTGGAAAAGTAGAAAGAATTTTGGATCTATAGGAGGTGAAGGTTTGAATTCAGTATTAGGACCTTTGGTTTTGGTTTACTTTGATTTGTTTGTTTGTTTGATGGATTAAAAGACAAAAGCAAATGAAGTTAACCAAATACAGATGTTTTAACTCTTAAGTGTTTCATTGGGCTGTGTAATTTGTGGCTTAAGATTCTTGTGAGTAGAATTGGTTAATCGAGAAGGTTAGACTCTGTGAAGTCAAGCTCTGCTTGCTCCCGTGAAGCTGCAAGGATCCATGTAGTTTTTCAGGAACAGAGGGGTGAAGTTGGGGAAGATTGAGAGATGAATAGGAGGGCATATTCCCTGTATGGGGCAAGAGACTGTGCACTTTGTATGTTAAAGAGAACTCTCAGCCAGTGTGCCTTCATCCTCTGAATATTAAACTCAGATTGTGAATGTGTCTGCTAGTTGATGCAGCAGGAAGGTATCACCAGTATCCAGTTATGAAAGAAAAAATTAAAATGGAGGGTGCCAGCCAGAGCGATGCAGTTTAATCCCAGCACTAGGAAGGCAGAGGCAGGAGGATCTCTGCAAGTTTGAGGCCAGCCTGGTTGGTCTACATAGTAAGTTCCAGGACCGCAAGAGCTACCCTGTCTCGCCGCCCTCAAAATGTAAACTGCTGTGGTGTGGTTAAGTAGGCAGCATGCTTGCCTAGCATGTGCAAGGTTTATGCAAAGCATTAGCGGGCTGTGGTGGCACCTGGTTATAACCCTAGCACTCAGAAGGCAGTTTTAGAAAACGTGAGCTACACAGAACTCTGTCTCAAAAAGAAAAATGACCTGTGATCTTTCTCAGGGGAAAAATATGGTAAGCATGATAGCATGTACCTGTAATCTCATCCCTTCGAGGTGGAGAAAGATTATGAGTTTGAGACCAGCCTTGGTAACATAGCCGGACCCGCTTCAATGTGTCTGTGTGTCTATGTGTGTGTCTGTGTGTGTGTGTGTGTGTGTGTGTTTGTGTGTTTGTATGTGTGTGTGTGTGAACATATATGTGCTACACATTTATCTATTTTTGTGTATATGTGAGTATGCATATACCATGGCACATTTGTGGAAGACAGAGCACAACTTTCCAGAGTTGGTTTTTCGCCTTCCACCCCATGGGTTGCAGGGATCCAAGTCAGTTTTTGTGTTTTGCCTTGTTTTGTTTTGTTTTGTTTTGTTTTGTTTTGTTTTGTTTTGAGACAGGGTTTCTCTGTGTGAGAGCTGTGGCTGTCCTGGAACTCACTCTGTAGCCCAGGCTGGCATGGAACACACAGAGATCCACCTGCCTCTGCCTCCCAGGTTCTGGGATTAAAGGTGTGCACCACCACCACCCGGCTGCCATTCAGGTTTTTAGGCTTGGCATCAAATGCCTTTACCCAGTGAGCCATCTTGCTGCCCCGACCTACACACACACACACACACACACACACACACACACACACACACACACACACACACCCCAGAATCATGTGAACTAGTGTAAACGTAAGGGTGAACTTTTTTAAAGATAAGAATGTCATAAACTGCCAAGGGCAGGAAGTGCAGAGGGTGTGAAGGGACTCAAGACTGGGCTCTCAGACAAAGAAAACCATGCTATGGAGTCACTCTGGCTCTCTAATGTCCAGTTGACACTCATCTTTGTTTATGTTTTGTTTTATCTCCACAGTCCAGGTTTTCCTGTTTATTAGTGTGTTGGTGCCAAAAAAGTGATATCCAAGCTTAGCCTTACAGCTCATTAGTTCACATATGCAGAGGAGGAAATCCACATTTCCAAGCATAATAATCAAGCTCCAATTTGGATCAAGTTCCCTGCTGCAGACAAGGACTGGTTGGGGTATTGAGAGCTAAACACTGTAAAAGGTCACAGGGCTTCATTCAGAACCATCTGGGCTGATGGGTCTCTCTCAAGGTTACATGGACTTATTCTCGGTGACCAAGCCTTTAGGATATACTCTACCTTTAAGTTATTTTCTTTTTCGAGTGGCTAACTTATTGGAGGCCTCAAAGTAATTCACCTCTGTGGTCAGGCTTATGATTTCCATAGATGGAAATGATTATTTTTACTTTTATTTATTTATTTTTTTGTTTTTGTTTTTTTGAGACAGGGTTTCTCTGTGTAACAGCCCTAGCTGTCCTGGAACTCTCACTGTAGACCAGGCTGGACTCAGACTCACAGAGATCCGACTGCCTCTGCCTCCTGAGTGCTGGGATTAAAGGCGTGTGCCACCAATACCCGGCTGGAAATGATTATTTTTTATCATAAAGGACAGGATATAGAGAACAAAATGAAATTTATGAGGTAGATCGTTTTCTAAAAAAAAAAAAAATCTTTGTTTTGTTTAGCATGCTTTTTTTTAATTTTAAAGATTTTAAATTTTAAATTTAAAAAAATTTAAAGCCTTACCTGGCCTTCAGCTGACTATGTAGTTGAGGACAACCTAGAGCTTGGGATCTTCTTGCCTGTACATCCTAAATGCTGGTATTACCTGTGTTGTACTACCTCATCTGGATAAAACTGAAGTAATCTTTTTTGTTTGTTTTGAGACAGGGCCTCAACTATGTAGCTCTGTCTGTCCTGGAACTGATAATATAGACCAGGCTGGCCTCGAACTCATGAAGATCTGCTTACATCTGCCTCCCAAGTACTGGGATCGAAAGCATGTGCCACCATTACCGACAAATTAAAATAATCTTGATACACAACTTCTTTTTTCTAGGTTGCTTGGACACTGGACTTGGATTTCTAGGCTTAACTGTGTTTAGAAAGGCTGGATGTGATAACACGCCTTTAATCCCAGCACTCCAGAGGCAGAGGCAGGCAGATCTCTGTGAGTTCGAGGCCAGCCTGGTCTACTAGAACTAGTTCCAGTACAGCCTCCAAAGTCACAGAGAAACTATGTCTTGAAAAACAGGAAAAAAAAAAGCAGCAGTAGGTGGTGCTGGAGAGATGAGTCAGTGGTTAAGAGCACTTGTTGCTCTTCCAGAGGACCTGGGTTAGATTCCTGGCACCTACATGGTAGTTTACAACCAGTTCCAGGGGGATCTGACACCCTCTTCTGGCCTCCATGCACACTGTGTGCACCTGTGGTGGACAGGCATCCATGGAGACAGAACACTCATACACATAAAATAATAAAAACAAAATTAAAAGAGTAGTGTCTTGAGTATTTAAAGTGACAATGAAAACTCAGTGAAGATGTGGTACCACATGACAACTCCATTTCATCTTATTTTGTCCTGCTCCCATATCTGAGACTTTATCTAGCTTTAATTATATACCCATTTGTTTGTTTGTTTGCTTGAGACAGGGTCTTAAGTAGCCAAGGCTAGCCTGGAACTCACTATGTAGCTCAGGCTGACCTGGAACTCCCTAGCCCTCCTGAGTGTTGGGATGGCAGGTGTGTGCCTCTATACCTGGCTCTCAAGCTTTCCTCTAGGATGTTACTTACTGGGCTAACCAAGCCTTTCCTCGCCTTGCAGATTACCTCCAATATTCCAGGGCCTTGTTCATCATCTCTATCCTCTGCATGCTTACTGGCCTTGGCTTGCTCTTCAGCTCCTGCCGCCCTGCAAAAGGAATCCTGACCTCCGAGTTGGATCTAAAGTTGTCCATCCTCAGCTTCTGCTCAGGTACTGACTGGCAAGGTAACGCACCAAAGGTAAAACAATCAAAGAAACTAAGCTTCTCTGGGGTCTTCCCTCTCCATCACCAAGTGGCCATCTCCCTGCGCTGTCTCAAGGCATAGAACATGCCTTAACTGTCTTACACCAAGGGGGAGGACCCCTACTTAATCTCATCTTGGCTAATCCCCAGGTCTTTAATCTTTTGATCTTTGCCATGGATATGATCCCTGCAAATGAAAGAGAGAGGAGCTGGGGGTGGCAGCCAAGGCAGATGGAAGATGCTGATAGGTTGTGACATCTTTCCTTCTGGTCCCAGCTGTCTGCTTGCTCCTCTGCCTCAACCTGTTTCTGGCCCAGGTTGAGTGGTATACACAAAGTGCCATGGAGTCAGAGTTCCTGTGGACCTATTATCTTAATTGGTGCAGTGACGTCTTGTATATCTGTGCTGGTGAGTCAGCGCCCTGCTCTGGAGGAACGGGAAGTCATCTCTGTAACAGGAGGTAGAATCGAGAGGAAATAGAAGCACGGCAGGTTTCTAACGTGGAGAGGCAGTGTAGTGTGATGGAGAAAGCATTGATTTGACAATCAAAAGCCTAGAATTAGTAACTTGTTCTCTCACAGAATGAGGCGTAGATGGGTTAAGTAACTTGCTTAAGGGCACACAGAAAACAATAGCACCATTGTTGAAATCCAGAAGAATTGAGCTTTATTCTAACCAGACTGGAATAGTCTAAAGCAGCAGTTACTGGAGGGTAAATTAACCCATGTTGGTGGGAGGAGGAATTACTGAAAAGACACCTTTTAAGACAGAATATGAAATGATGAATATGATTTTTAAAAGCTAAAAGACCAGCTGCCTGTTAAGCCTTACCTCATTGTTTTTCCCTCTCCTTTAGGGATCATCTCTTTTCTCAACTACATAACTTTCCAATCTCCTACTCCTGATCAAAGTGACAATACAATCCCATGGCACAAGTCCAGGCTACAAAAACAGACAACATCACCACCCACTACACCTGAAAAGTCAAGTTCTCAGATGCAATTTCTAAGTAAGAGAGGGGAGAAACAACCAAGTATGAGACAGGAAAAACAACCAAGTATGAAACAGGAAAAACAGTCAAGTATGAGAAAGGAGAAAAAACCAAGTATCAGAGGGGAGAAACAACCAAGTATGAGACAGGAAAAACAACCAAGTATGAAACAGGAAAAACAGTCAAGTATGAGACAGAAGAAACAACCAAGTATCAGAGGGGAGAAACACCCAAGTATGACACTGGAGAAACAACCAAGTACGAAACTGTGATAGAAATAGGAAAGGATAAACCCTGCTGTCTTACTAAGTGAGAAATGATTGTGCAAATTTGATGAAACCTTCTGATATCATGTCCATAGCAGCATTAAAGCTAACGAAATGTCTTTTGTGTGTGTTGCATCCAAAATATATGAGACCATCATAAAATAATGAAGGGCTGAAGAAATGGCTCGGCAGATAGCAGTGCTGGATGCACAATCATGGGACTCAGAATTTGAATCCCAGCACCCACAAGGCTCCTCAAAGGATAGGTGGAGATGAGGAGATGGAGAACATCCAATGTCCTCTTTTGGTGCCCGAGAGCAAATGTCCATTGCAATGAGTCACTGGTCTGGTTCAAGGCCTCTGGTTTCTCACCATCCTCACTGGATCCTCACTAGAACTCCTCTAGTACCCTATAGCCGCCCCGAGTCTTGGAGATCTTGCAGGTATTGTTCCACAGGAGCAGTCTTCTCATGAGTTCCTGCAGGTCCTAGATGAGGTAGATGCTAGGGTGGGTCAACTCAAGAGCTGGTCAGTTTGGGCCAACCCCCCTCATGTGAGGGGGTGGAGTCAGCTTCTCTGGGTGCATACCCTCAGGGTTAGTTCAGCCTTTCCTATGGTGAGAGGTGGGGCCATCTCTCTTGCTGTAGAGTCCAGCAAGAGACAAGGCCAGCTTTCTCAGGGTCAGCGAAGGGTAGGGCCAGCTCAGCATGGTCTTCTGATTTCATCTTGCATGGTTTCTAAGGCCTCCTGAGGTAACACTGGTCACAGATATCAGCACATACCTCCACCTGCAGCTGGACCTTGGATCCAGACAGCCTAGGATGATACGGCCGGACGACAGGACAAGATCTTGGCTCGGGGTGGAAGGGATGGCCACTCAGGTGGGAATGATTCTGGCAGCCTTAGGGCTGCCGAACACTACTAAGGCCTCGGGTTGCAGTCCTAACCCTGGGCTATCTGACCTTTGGAAGAAATGCAGGACCTGAACATCAGCACAGACCCCAGTCATGTCAGGAATGTGGACCCTTACATGGCCCTCAGCATCCACTGTGTCTGGATGTTACCACTGCCCCAGCGACAGTATGGCCCCTGGATACCAACAAGGCCATAGGTTGCAGTCTAGAGCCCAGGCTTCATGTGACCTTTGGTGGCACCATGAGACATGATATTTCACATGGTGTTGGCTTACCTGGGAATGCCGGAACTGCAACTCCTATGCCTGCTACATGATGACTGCTCAGCATCTCCGCAGAGAAGAGAGCAATTTCCTGTTTGTCCCTGCTTATATCCTGTTACTGCCCAGCTATATCACTTCCAATCTGTCTGTACAGACCTCCAGACCTCTATGGTTAGCTAGTGACACACTCCATTCTCTGACCCCGAGTCAGGCTTTATTTATGCAAGAAAGATATCAACACAGCATAGCTCTTATAATCCTAGTCCCTGACCAGCAATACCCAAACATGCCAAATGGGCATGAGTGTGTGTGCACTGGCACAGAAGCACAAGCCCCTAAGTGTGCACCTCATTTGAACCCTCACTTAGAAAACGGTTCATTCTGTGCTTATCTCCCCTTCCTGGAAGGATGTCTTCATCATGGCTGCATCATTGGTACCTTCTGCAAGCCCTTCAGCCTGTTCCTTGGACAGTATCTGATGCTAGGAGGACTCACATGGTCAAAGACAGCTCCTCCCATCACTCACTCCATAAACAGCCTCTGCAAGTCAATTGGTTAAGTACTCATTTGGGTTCAAAATCTTTACCCACAGTTTAGTTTGAATACCTTTCTTGAACTCCATTGAGAGGATGCTGAGCACTGATGGCTCCTCAGGGAACAGATGTTTTATTATTATTTTGATTTTTTGAGTCAGGGTTTCTCTGTGTAGCTTTGTAGATCAGGCTGGCCTCTAACTCACAGAGATCTGCCATCCTCTGCCTGGCATATTGCTGGGTTTAAAGGCATGTGCCACCATTGACTGGCTAGGAACAGATGTTTTAAATTCGGGGAGAAGGTTTTAAGTCTGAGTGAGAGTGAAATATGAAGACTAAGAAAGAGTACAGGGTGTAGCTATCAGGGAGTAGTAGTTATAGACATTTCCCACTTTGATTGCCCCTCTAGAAACTGTGTCTGGATGTTCTTTCTCTTTCTTTGGTTGTAAAGAATTCCTTAAAGTGGTACTGGAGAGAGGGCTCGGTGAGTAAGAGAGCTGGCTACTTTGTCAGAGCCCCTTAGTTTGGTTCCCAGCACCCATATCTGGCAGCAATCAGCTGTCTATAACTTCAGTGTCAGGGGATACAACACCCTCTTCTGGCATACATGGACACTGGTACACACACACACACACACACACACACACACACACACACACACACTTTTTTAAAAAGTTCCTTTAAAAAAGACTAACTGTATTTTCAGCCAAATTGGGTAATAAATTGCCCTATTCATTTTGTAATAGATGAAAGGGAAGAGGGAAGAGAGTCCCCATCAAAACAAGACGAACTACTTAGACACCAGAAATATCATCATCAACAACAAATAAAACACAAACCAGAGTTTAAGCTAACTGCTAGACTTAATGTTCCCTAAATCCACAGTGAGGAGGAAGGAGGCTCCTGTGGAGTGAAGGGGCTCAGCATACTCTCAAGATGGATTAAGTTAGGTCCACTGCTTTAACTCAAAAAGAGGCTGAACAAGCAGCAGCCAAGCACTGACTAGAGCTATAATTTATTAGGAACTTGGGCCTAAAGGGACAGAAGGCTGCAAATACAATAGCCAAGCAGCCTATCATTAACTGCTCCTGTAATGTTCTTTAATAGCACAACAGAACAAGAAACCTAAAGCACTGTATCAGAAGACCAAATGTCAAGTAGTGGTGGCTCATGCCTTTAATCCCAGCACTCAGGAGGCAGAGGCAGGCAGATCTCTGTGAGTTCAAGGTCAGACTGGCCTACAGAGCAAGTTCCAGGACAGCCAAGGCTGTTACAATGTAAAACCCTGTCTTGGAAAAAAAAAAAAAAACAAGGAAGGAAGGGAGAGACAGAGGGAGGGAGGAAGAAAGGAAAGAAAAGAAAAAACCCAACTTGAAGGCTTTGGTGGTTTGGGTGAAGTGTTTACTGCACAGTGTGAAGACTTGAGTTTGGAGCCTAAGAACTGACTTAAAGCTGGACATAGTAGCACAGGACATGGCAGAACAGGTCTCTAATCGCAGGCTCCTACAGGGGATGGGAGTTGCAGCAGGCAATATCTCAGAAGTTCCTACTAGGTCAGCTAGTCTGAGACGTGCAGAAATGAACACTTAGAGATGCATGCTCAATGTTGTCTTGTTGCCTCCATATGCCTGCAGTCACACATGGGAACACACACCCTTGGAGATGGGTGGAACTAGAGGGGAGGACTCGTACAAACGAACCTAACTTTAGACAGAGCATCTTTGGCCAAAATAAGGAGACACTAAATCATTCAGGTTGAGTTAAGGGGAAAATAAACAATAACAACACCCCCCCCAAAAAAAACATGCCTACAGGAGCTGAGGACATGGCTCAATTGGTAGGACGCTTGCCTAGCATGCCTGACACCCTAAGTTCAATTCCCAGCACCTGATAAGCCAAGTATGGTTGGCACACACCTATGGTCCCAACACTAAGTAGGTGTACACAACAGTATTAAGGTCTTTTCAGCTACATAGTTGGTTCCAGAGTACACTGAGCTATGTGAGACCCTATTTTATTTTATTTTCAAAAGATTCAATTGTTTTTATTTTATGTGTATGGGTGTTTTGTCTACATGTATGTCTCTGTACCATGTTCTACGTGGTGCTGGTGAAAGCCAGAAGACATCAGATCCTCTGGGACTGGAGTTATAGATGATTGTTAGCAACCATGTGGATGCTGGGAAATAAGCCCAGGTCTTCTGTAAAAACCAGCAAGTTCTTTTTTTCTTCATAAATTTTATTTAAATTGGAAACAATTATATATATTTTATTTAAATAGAAAAGATTTTATACATTTTATTTAAATTAGAAATGATCTAATTTCCTTCTCCCTCCCATCAAAATCTGTCCAGTCATTTGGGGTAGGGCCTAGGCCCTCCCCCTATGGCAACTCTTGTAACACAGTTTGTCCAACAAACTCACACCTACTCTGAAAAGGCCACACCTCCTAGTAGTGCCTCTTTAATGACCAAACAGTCAAATATGAGCCAATGGAGGCCATTCCTGATCAAAGCACCACACAGACATACCACAAAGTCTCAATTTAACACCAAAGAAGACAGCCTTATATCTTTGTACATGGAATGCTGTAAATTCTGTGGGAACTCCTTCCATCATAAGATCAGGTAGGTGCTGCTGGAGCCGAATTACATACAGCTGGCAGGGAGGCACAAGCTAGAGTGGATGAAGTCTCAGGTTTGAAGTCAAGTTAGATGATCCTACTCATCACATGATTCTAGGAGGCTCTTATACTCAAGAGGACGGCATCCTAGGATACACATAGGAAGCCTAGTTTCAATTCAATAATAAATAAGTTCTAAAAGAATGTATCCCAGCCTGTGGGAGTAGGAATTAGCAGGATAGCCATGAATTCTAGGTCATCTTTGGTGTATATAGTATCAGGCCAACAGGACTATATAGGAAGATCCAGTTTCAAAAAAAAAAAAAACCCCAATAAAAAAAAAAAAAAAAAAAAAAAACCCAACCTCCCCCCAAAAGACATGTCAACTATGAGTCATCCTTGTTTCTAGCTTCTTTAACAGGAAGCACTAGAGGCATTTGCGAGACCTCAAGATGGGCTAGAGCCAGTATATGTCAGAGTCCTGGCAACAACCAAAATGGACCATTTAATGGCCCTCAGGGGGATACTTGAAGTCCTTAAGGTCAAAGTATAGGCAGAGTTGGAATGAGGGCATCACTTTGTTGGTTTAAATGTGGGCTTCAGGCAGGATGCTGGTAGGGCCTTCTGGTGGTGTATTCTCCTTACTCTGGGATGGAATGGCATTGACTCACCCATGAAGTGACCACTGGCAATGAACTTGAGGTGACTGCTGGTGTTGGGCTTGAGGTGACAGCTGGTGTTGGGTTTGAGGTGACAGCTGGTGTTGGACTTGAGGTGACTCACCAGC